CCAGCTGCTCTGTCCTGCCTGACTGTCCCCATGTCCCTATGGAGGCAGGAAGAGGTCCCGCCACTGGTGCAAGAGCAAACAAGCGCCATGCCATCTGCTCGGGACGCTGGGGACACCACCCTGCTTAAGCCCTGGCATCGTTAGACACGGCCCTGCTCAGAGCAGAGGGACCCTACAGGGCCCGGGGCCCTCAGTGCAGGTGGGCTGCCTCCAGCACGCACCCTGCCCTCAGCACAAGAGGCTCAGTGCGGCTGGCACCCACCCAGGTGCAGAGGACCAGGGCAGAGACACCTGATGGGGACTGAGGGACACCTGCCGAGGGCAGCCCTCCACACTGTCCCCTCAGTGAATACTGAGGGCACCCCAGGCTTAGAAATCACCACAGTGGAGGCCACCTCACCCAATGACCAGCACCACCTCACCATCGCCCACCATGGGAGACTGATGTCAGACACCATCGAGGGTCAGGCCCTGGGGGGCGCACAGCAGGCCAGCGGGAGCCAGCGAGTCGGTGCCTTCCTAGGGGGACACAGCAAAGGCTGACGGGGTGCGGTGGAGGAGAAATGCGTCTTCATCAGTTAAAAAGGCCACATCATAACTGCAGCCCCAAATTCCCGAGTTTCCCCTCCCTCTCCGTCCATGGGAGGACCACCCGGAAGCCTGGGCGCTGGAAAACAAAATGCCCTCAACTGCTGGGTGGAGCGGCTGGGCCAGGAAGGAGGGCAGCCTAGAGCCTGGACTGCAGCTCCCCTGAGCACTTCCACGTTCACGTGGGGAACTGGCCCCTGCCCACTGAGGCCATGCCCCAGCTGCAGGGCTGGGGAGACCCCCACCTAACCCAGCAGAGGGCATCAGTGCCCAGGTCATCCTCAGGGAGAGGTGCGCTTCCCAGGGAAGGAAGCACCCAGAGGGGGGCACTTCCTCTTCCCTAAGGCCTTTCTGAGGGGACCCGGGGCATCCCGAGTGGCTTTAGATAAGCACATCAACATGGAGTGTTCTTGCTCAGGACAGAGCCAGAGCCCAGCCTGGGAGGGGAGCAGGAGGCTCAGGAAGAGGCTTTCATGCACACCTGGTCAAGAGGCTCCACCCTTCCAGGACGTGGGCTGGGTGCCCCCCAACCCAGAGAGGAGGGGGTGGGGCCAGGGCTCAGGACCCACCGAGACAGCAGACCCCTTCCCCTGGAGCCTGCAGGCAGGAGGGACTGGGAGCAGGGAGGACGTCACTCCAGCCCCCGCAGGTGCCCAGGACTGAGGGACAGAACAAGACCAGCTGGGCTGCTGCAGGCCTCCAGAGCTCAGCTGTCCTCCGCCCACGTTCCCTTACCCACCTTGTCCTGAAGGACAGGGACCAGCAGAGGAGACCTGGCCTGGGGGCCCAGCAGCATTGCAGCCCTCGCCCCAGGATGCCCTTACCCTCCTGCAGCTTAAGCCCCAGCAAGATCTGGCCTTTCCACTCTCCTGGCTCACGGTCACCTGGCATTAGCAGGTCAGTGCCCTGCCCTGACCTCACCTTAGGCCTCAAGCCAGGGAAGGGACTCCCCAAGTATCCTAAGGGCGTGTACCTTTCCCCACAGGGACGTGCCATCCTGCAGCCCCAGCAGCCCCATCTGACAGCTGTGTTTGCTCGAAGCCCCACCAAGAGTAAAAGGGCAGGCGTCTTCTCCCTTTTATATAATTAAGAAATGGGACCTGTGACTCTCTAATCAGCATTACAAGGTCCCCAGGTCTTGGAAGGTTAAGGGACATGGCATCCCTTTGCATGCTAATTTCTCTAGTCCATTTCAGTTTTTCCTCAGCATTGACGAGCTCCTCATGAATCAGAGAAAGAGAGTTCCCAGCTTGTCACGTGTCCTTTGCTTTGCCTAAAGTATTTTTTAAAAATATAGATGGTTTAAAAAACCTTTATAATTTTCCTTTCCTCTGTTGCTTTTGAAGTTTGATCTTGGGTAGGGACGTCCTCTCCAGGGCCTGGTTGTAGAGACACTAAGGCGTTTCCTCCTGGGGCTTCTGGGGTTCCAACTCCTTTCTGCATTCGCGCCTCTGACGGCGTGGAGATGGTCCTGGGGGTGCCGTGGGAACCAGACCTGGGCCATGACACTTATTGACAGTCCCTCCACCCGCCAGAGACACCCTGTTTTCATATGGGCATGGGACTGATCCTGCGCATGGCTCCTAGGCCGCCTGTCTGCCTGTCTGTGCCTCTGTCAGGCCTCTGCCCTCAGGAGGAGGCTTTAGGGCCCCAGTGTCTGCAGGGTCTCCACCTCCTTCCTCTTCCTTCCAGCATGTTCCTGGAGATGCCTGTGGAGTGGTCAAGTGGCATTCTGGGGCGAGAGTCTCAGCTCCAGGGATCCTGATGGACAGAAGCCGCCCGCCTTGGTGCACAGCCTTCCACGCAGGAGCGTGGCTCTCTCTCCTTAATGGGTCAATTCTCCTTCTAGGAACTTCCTGGCTTTTCTCACCTAAGGATTCCTTATTGTTATGCTTAAAAGGAGGCACTTCCTTTTCTTCCCTTCTCCTTCTTCCTGTGCTAAGGCATCTTTTCTGTAGTTGCTTCTCATTTCCATTTGCATTTTGACCTCTGTGCATTGTCGGGGGCTCTCTGGCTGGCCGCTGTGTGTGCCCACTCTCTTATTGTCAGGGGTGGTTTTCTAGGGAGACTTCTGGCTTTCCAGCTCTGCAGCCAGATCATCTGCGACTGGTTTCCCTGTCCCTTTCCAGTCCTCACACCTTTCTCTGGTGGCTCTCTGACTGCCAACTGAAAGCCATTCCTTAAACGTGAAGTCCTGGTGCCTGTGGCTGACTCACTCTCTGTGGCCTGCGCTGTGTCTGAGCAGGTGCGGCTGGAGCTGCCCTGGCTGGTTCCTGAAGTCTCCTGTCTGCGATGGGCGCTTCCCTGGGGTTCTCCTGCAGAAGCCGTCACTCTAAGTGGCCTCCACGATTTCAGGCCTGCGTTCTTCCCAGCCTCCTGCGTGGGCTGTGAGAGCCCTCTGGCAGTTGGAGAGGTGGTCAGGGTTTCCTGGACACCCTCTGCCTGCCTGGTCCCGCCAGAGTCTGCACCAGGATCAGGAGTTTGCTGCCCGCCCCTCCTGGTCTCTGCAGGAGCTACAGCCTCCTGGGCCACGACTGCCCAGAGTCTCGCCTTCCAGGGCTCTTGCACTGCTATGCTGGGGACCCCTGGGGACCTCCACCTTGCTGGGCTCCATGGGAGACTGTCCTCAAGTCCACAGACACCCTTTCCTGGTCCCTGCTTCTGAGTCACCTCAAGCGCTCTGTGTGACGTGCTCTGCACCAAGGAGAGTTGATCCTGGCTGTCCAGCTGTGTGCACTGTGGACGTGAGAGCCTGCCTACCTACCCACAGGTAACTAGAAGCCCACAGGGGAGGGTGGTGTGGCAGCTGCTGGGCTGCACAGGTGGGAGCACTGAGTGTCCTGGGGGCAGGGGGACAGCCACCTCCTTCCCTCTCACCCTGGCTGACAGTTTCCTTCCTAGGGCCCATTAGTGCCTCACTTTCTGCCCAGACTGATGTCAGGCGCTTGGCCCTGCATGTGCCTCTGCAAGTGTCAGCTGTGGGCCTTCCATTGATGCCTTCCCTCCACACTGAGCTGATTGGTGTCCTCGGTGGGAGCTGAGGGTCTCACTTCCTTCCTGTCCCCAGCAGCATTTCTTGCAGACGCTGCCCCTGCCCCACTCTGTTCCTGACGTGTTGGAAACCTGGTTGTGCAGGTGCCCTGCACCTCGGGGGCCCTCTTCTGTTCCCTGGTCCTCGGGTCTGTTCCCTGCAGCACCACCACTTGGCCAACCACTGCTCTGTGCTGCTCTGAAGCCAGTTGCTGCCGGCTGTCTGGGCTTCCTTCTTTCTGCTCAGGATGGCTTTGCCTGTCCTCTTAGGGTGACATGTGAATGTGGGGATTGTTTTCTTCCTATCAAGGAGGACACTGGAAATTGTAGGATGGCTTTCTTTGGGATGAATGAAGTATGTTCTGTTATTCCCATTTTATTCCCTTTTAGAGTTTTGTGGGGCAGAGTTCTGGCTGGAGACCCGGGGGTGGAATTCCAGAAGTAACAAGAGCTGTGCTGGGGAGGGCCAGCCCAAGGCCTACTGTGTGGCGGGCACCTGTGGACATAGCTCCCCAGGTGGTCACGGGCTCCCTCACTCCATCCTCTTGGGACTCGCTGCTGGGAGGGTGGACGTTTGAAGCTCAGGAGCTCCGTGGTCAGCACTGTCCTCCCGCTTTCCCCTGACCTCCAGCTGGGGAAGGGCCTGTTGGGACAGAGGGGTCACTGTGCCCCAGGGTAGAACAGGCACTCCAGGAACAGTTAAGGGAGCTGGGAGAACAGGTTCCTGTCACCTGTCGCCCTGGGGTGGGGAGTCCTGGGGTGGGGAGTCCTGGGTGTTCTCCACTTAAGTGGGAGATTCTACTTTCCCAATCATCTTTTCATGATTTTCAGCCCCCTCCCCGCTTTATTGTGGTAAAATATGCAGAACATCCCTTTGTGTTGTTGAGACAGGGTCTTGCCAACCTGCTGAGGCTGGCCTTGAACTCTCCAGCCTCTTGCCTCAGCTTCCCGAGTCCCTGGGAGGACAGGTGTGCACCACGGTGCCAGCTAAAATTCACCATTTTGAAGTGCACATCTGTGCTCACAGGATACACTAACAGTGAAGAGGGCTTGCAGCATAGTGTCCCCAGCGTGGTCGTGGTAAGGCATGAAAAGCTCAGTGCGGTCACTGCTGGACGCAGCTGAGCACAGGACAGGTGCTGGAGGCTGGGCACCCATCTCATGACAGGGCTGCCTGAGGCTCAGGGACAGGGAGGGACAGGCTCGGTTTGCCTCTACTTGTAGTGTGAGGCGGAAGGACTGTGTGGAAATGTGTTTTCAGAAAGCTTTTGTCAGGAGAAAGAGGAAAAGAGCCCAAGAACTGTCAGGAAGGCGGTCAGTGTGGCCAGCACCTTCCCAAGTCACCTGGAGAGTGACATATTCCATCTCAGGGTTTTCCCAAGTGCTTTGAGATAGGATAGTTTATTGGGTTTTGAAAATGTCCTGGGAGACAGGGTAGAAGATTTAACGAGAGGCCACAGAACAAATTAAAAACCTCACACTATAGGACACACAGGAAGGAGGTCAGTGCCTCAGGGAGGGGACACCTCTGTGCCAGCCCCCCCCCCATCCCCTGCAGTTGTCCCCAGGAGGGGGCGGGAATCAGGGTGGCAGGGACGGACTTGCAGCCTAGTTCCCTATGGGTGCTCTGTCACTACTTGGAGGAGACACGGTAGAAAGTTAGCCTTTTCATTGATACTTTTTCCATTTGGTCCTCTTTCAAAGTCTCGTCTATTCTGCAGAACAGAAAAGAGTCCTGTGTCAGTCACATTGAAAATCTCACCTTTGTCCCTTATTTCCTCAAGGCAGAGCGCAGAGATCCTGGTGATGCTCCAAGGGACAGACGCCCGTGATGAGCAGAGGTGGCTGGTGAGTGTTCAACACCTGGTCTCCACCCTCCCAAACCCCAGTTGTCGCTTGGCCAATTTCTGTGAAGTCAACTCTCCAACTGGACCACATCCGATCTCAAGCTGCCAGTTAGACGCCACTGACCAGAGTTGCTGTTGGAAGCCCCAGTACACATCCACGCACGCACACCAACACATCCACGCAGGCACACACATGCACACACAGACCCGGGGTTTGGGGGCGAGAAACCAGTGGATTTGGAGTTATGCTTTAAAGAGACAAAACGGTAATAATTTCTGTGGCCTGGGTGTCCCACCACATCTCGTTCCATTTTCAGAGCCACCCTGACAGACACCACATCCCCACGACTAGTGAGAAAGATGCTGAACCTCGTCAGCTCTGAGCCAGTGACCAGACGCGGTGCAGGCAGGACCCGAGGCCCAGTGATTCTCTGGGCCCCGCCTGCACCCTACGACACACTGACTCGGATATGACAGGCTCGGGGCCCCTGTGTCCTGCTTCTTCTGTGGACACATGTGTCTCCTGTTTGAGAGGCCTCCGTATGCCACTCCCTGGCGTGAACCCCGTCCCCATGTACTGTCCCCTCAATGCGCATCTTGGCAAGATGCTTCAGGGAGTGGGAAGAGAGCAGTGCTGGCCATTCAGTTCCAACGTACCTAGGCCACTGGACGCACATCCTCAAGCCCGCCTCATGCCATTACTGCTACTTGACAGAGAGAAGATGGTAATTGGAGAGGACAAGAGCCTTGCCCAGGCCTCGAGCTGGACACATGGGCCAGAACAGAGACGCAGACCCCCAAGGCTCAGGACACACAGCCAAGTCCGTCCACCATCGACATCGGCCCCCCGCACTCGACACTCTGAATGGCTCGCCAGCGTCTGGAGGGAGAGCCACGGGCCCAGCACCCAAGGGTCCCCCCACAGCGCGAGGACACACTGCACACTACGCACCATGTCCTCGCAGGAGGAGCACTGCGCACTGGGGCGGGGGGGCTACAGAGTTTTAAGTCAATAGGCTCCTTTCTAGAAGCCGGGGGCCGATCGCTGCCTGGGATTGCTTTGGTCCCGAGGGTGGAGAAGAGTGATGTGTCAATAGTGTATCACATTATACTTGTTTCCTAATGTGTTTAGTAGTAAATTATATAGTGCAATGGGAATGATGTATTTATAACTGTCAATGTCACAAATCAATATGAATTGCATACTTACATAATCTAGGTCTATATTAACATAACTTACAAATACAATTTGTTTCCAAACATGAAGTTCTGTTTGTAAACACAGATCCTTCTCAGGTCACGGTGGGATGGCATTCCGATTAACCAGTGTGTTAGGGTTCAGATGCGAGGTGTCCCCCAGAAGCTCACGTGCGACACAATGCAAGGATCAGAGGAGAAATGATTGGCTTGTGGGAGTCTCAACCCACTCAGTGAGTTCACCCCCATGGGATTACCATGGGATGAACAGAGTGGTGCCTGGAGGCCGGAGGGCGAGGCTGGAGGAGGTGGCCTTCGGGGTCCTGCCTTTGGGGTAGACGTTTGTGTCTGGAGAGGGGCGTCTCTGCCTCCTGGTCACCCTGCCGTGCGGGGCTTCCCTCAGCCACTCTCCTCCACCGTGATGCCCTGCCTCACCTCGAGCCCCAAGAAAGGGAGCAGGCCTTCTAGGGACTGAGACCTCTGCAACCGTGAGCCCCCAAATGGACTTTTCCTCCTCTACAAATTGTTCTGTCAGGTGTTCTAATCACAGCAGCGAAAAGGCTACGACAATACTGCAGGCTGAAGACGTTGTCAGACACACACACCCCTCACAGCCTCACCCACTGAACCCCACAGCTCCACCTAGCTCACCTATGGCCGGGCAATCACCCAGCACCCAGCTTCCTGGGTAATAACGGACAGTACACCTCATATACTGCTGAACGCTGCACTGAGAGGGAGAACCGTTTGCACGGGTGCCGTTTTGCACCACTGTAAAGCCGAAGAATGGTAGGTCACCCCCAAACGCATGAATGTATGTTCTATCTACAAATGTAATGTGTGCGATTGTGTTACACAAGTGTCAAGTGTAGCGGGTTTTAAACTCACCCTTGTGTTCCTGCGACACCTGGGCAGGAGCTTCACTTGTATGTGGCAGCAGTGAGGCTGTACCCAGCAGCTGCACAGGAGAGCCCACACAGACCACAAGCAGCTCACCTGAGCCTCTGCAGGACTTTCCTGGTCCGCAAAAAGACTCTGGTCAACTGTCGAACGGTTTTGTGGTCCAGGGGGTTGCTCCTGAGGTCCAGTGTATGCAGGCTCTTAGTGGAGATGATGATCCTAGCCAGGTCGTTAAAGCTCCCTCTGGTCAATTGGCAGGAATCCAGACTGCAACAGAGAGGATGTGGGTGGTTCCAGCCAGATCGCCCAGGCTCACTCCGCACCCCTGGGCATCCCCCTTCCTCTGTGATAGAGTCCTTTCCCCAGCCCTTGGACAGGAATCAGGGCTGTGAACCTCACTCTGAATAGTAACCTGGTACCGCGGAAGCAAGGTTCTGCAGTTCTGGGCCTCCCCTCAGATGCCTGCTAGGTTTCTCTTGCTTTTGCACTGGTTGCCCAACTCAAGGTCTCTCTACCACTGCCCCACATCCCCTGCCCTTTCTACTTGGAGAGAAGTTCTCCAGAGTTGCTGAGGCTGGCCTTGAACTTGTGATCCTCCTGCCTCAGGCTCCCTAGCCACTGGGAGGACAGGGGGGACCCAACACACCAGCCTGGTACACTTCCTGATCTCGTGGAACCCCCAAGGCGCTGCTCAGGGCTGCACTGTGTCCCCTCAGAGGGCCCGTGTTGAAACCCCAGCCCAGGTGTGATGGCACTGGAGACAGTCTTTGTGGAGGCACTGAGGGTGGACCCCAACGTGCTCTAACTGGTGTCCCTGCAGGAACAGGAAGTCCAGCCACACACAGGCACAGAGAGAAGACTGGGGACAGGGAGGAGGTGGCACTGGGAGCCTAGGAGCAGGCCTGGAGCCGTCCTCCCTGCAGGCCCTGAGAAGGAACCAGCCCTGGGCACCTTGAGCTGGGACTTCCGGCCTCCAGAGGCCTCCAGAACCCAGCGACGTGCGCTCAGGGCATCTCCATCTCTTGGTCTGTGCATGTTGCTAGGGCAGCCTGATGAGCACATGCAGATGCTGTGTCAGAAGCCGGACTAAGCATTAAATGAGACGTGGGCGGTCTCACTGTAGTCCACAGCTGCCAGCCAGCCTGCCCCCAGCCCAGGGTGAGACCAGCCATTCCCAGCCAGGAGCAGCCAGCAGTGAGCGCTCAGGCAGCCTTGGGCAGAGGGGTGGATGGATGTGCACAGCAGCCAGCTGCTGCCCTCACAGTCTCCTCCTGCCCATCAGCCTGTCCTTCTGCCACCCTGAGGATGCACCCGAGGCTTCCCAGCACCCACCCGAGTTCCTTTAAGCCGCAGCGGGAACGCAGCAGAGCCTCTTTCAGCAGCCTCACGCCAGCATCTCCTATGCTGTTGCCCCCGACATCCAGGCTTCTCAGGTTCGGGTTGCTGACGAGGACGATAGCCAGGGCCGGACAGATCCTCATAGTGATCTGGCACCTCTGCAAACTGCACGGCAACAGACAATGCAGAGACCTGTTATCCCCAGGCTCCTCCCGAGGCCTGGAGGAGGCCCAAATGGCTCAATAGAGAGTAGGCGCAGGGAGAGAAGAACCAGAACTAAGAACCGTTACAACCATGTCCCGGAAGTTGAGTGTGTGACAGTCCTCCATGGTTCGATTTCATTATCAACCTCTTCTTCACCGGGTCGAGGAAGTTCCTAAATATTCATGATTTTGCAAGAGTTATACTAAAGGGATAGGTCTCAAGGCCGACTTTCTGCCTTTTAGGCAGATTTTTACTTTTAACCAGTTCGTATAGAGAGTTGCCTGCACTGACCTTTTTCTAAGCATCTCCTTTGGGAGGCGGGGAAGGGCCCAGGGCCCTGCAGCTGCCCAGCCTAAGCTCTGTCTGCCAGCCCCGCCCTCCCCCTGACCTTTCTGATGCTGGGACAAATCGGGGTGAATTCCCTCAACACACTTTTGGAATTGGCTTGCTGCAGGGCTCCTTAGTGCCTCTGCATTTCACGGAGGACACTACACAGCACTTGTCCTTTCCCACTGTCCTGCTGTCGCTGCTATCAAGACTACCGTCCTCCAGTGTCTGTGTGGGGCTCTCTTCTCTTTGCCGTCTGCAAAGACTCTGAGAAGACTGCTCTTCCATGAGGGTTTAGTGAGACTCGCTGGTGCAGGTTTCTTTCTAAGCCACACTGGGCGGCTGATCTCATTGTGTGCATGGTTTGGACGCGTTCATGGTTTTCTCTTTGAGTTTTCTTCAAGTCATGCTCTTCTAGAAGCTGACCGAGTCTGGGAACAATCTGTCGGGTTCCTGGTGCTAAGGTGCCCACAACACCCCGACAGGTCACCGCCCCCACCCCCGGCAGGTGTAGGATCTCTTCCCCTTGGTGGAGAAATGCAGTGCTCCCTGCAGCCGCAGGAATCCCTGAGCACTGGACGGCGGCTCGTCTGTCCTGAGATGCGCCAGAGTGTAAGCCAGGTAATGAGTCTCAGGACAGAAATGTACAGAGCCTCACTAGTTCTTGTGTGGATTACATACTGGAGCCATAACACTTGATGCATGGTTAAGTAAGCTGCATTAGTAATTGGTTTGGGACCTGACACTGAACCCTCAAGCAGTTAAGCACTCAGCCACTTCCGCAGCCCTTCTTATTCCGAGATGGGATCTCACCCAGTTGCTTAAGGCCTCGCTCAGTTGCTGAGGCTGGCTTTCAACTCGTGATCCTCGTGCCTCAGCCTCCTGAGCCGCTTGGATGACGAGAGTGTGTCACCACGTAATCCAGCTAGTAAACTGATTCAACTTCCCTGCTCAATTTCACCTTTGTGTACTGCAATTACAACATTTCACACAGCTTGTAAGGCCGGCACCACACTCTACGGGAGAAGGTGGATACAAGTGGCCCTCTGCAGAGAGCAGCAAAGAACTTGCACTCTTCTGGCCCTTTCGGCTGTCGGTGCCATCTGCTTCTTTACTTCTCTCCTTGTGCCCTGCATCTCTGGTGGTTTGGCAATTGAGACAATGTTGAGCTGGCCACACTGGCTCACGCTGGTAATCCTAGTGGTTTGGGAGACCAAGGCAGGAAGATTCCAAGTTTGAGGCCAGCCTCGGCAATTTGGCAAGACCCTCGTCAATTTAGAAAGTCCTGTTCATAAGTCAAGAACAAGTTTTAGAAAAGGACTAGGGGTGTATTTCTGTGGTTGAGCGCCCCTGGGTTCAGTCCCCGCTACCTCTTGGACAAGTGTGCCCCATCTTTGGCCACTCGTTTTCTTCCATTAGTTCTAACCCACCGTGCAAAGCACCTATGAGGTGAACATGACCCTCATCTCTAGGTGTTCCAGTATCTGCTGCTTCCATGGGGTCCCTGTTCCTAGAGTTGAAAGGTGTTCTTTTGTTGAGGCAGAACACGCAACGGTTTGACCCATGAGTCAGGTTGGGGGACCTCTCTCTTGTCTTCTTGCCACTGTTCCTGATCTCCTTGGAGCTTAGGTTCTTTTCAGTGGGTTGAACTTATTGACCTTGGAAGATCCATTTGGAGTATGTCAAGGTCACGGCTCATGTCCTCCATCACCTGCCCCAACAGAGGATAGTTCCCTGGCTTTTTACGGGGGTCTGGCCGGCACTAGTTTGGGATTCTTGTTTTTTAATCCAGTCTGAAGGATTTGGGGAGAACCTCTCGTGACCTACACTTAGCCTACTGCTTAGGTTTATTCCTGTTCCACTTCAAGATGCTTCCATTTTTAAATATTGTACTGACATTTTAGTGGGCTTCTCTCAGAGACTGACCGGCAGCTTAACCCACCACTGCAGGAAGGAGATCGCTTCTCCTGCTCTTCCACGATGGCATCTAATGTCCCTGCAGCCTGGACCACGAGGTGCACGCTCAGATTTCCTAAGGGATCAGGTGAAACCTCCCCTCTACCTCCCTGGAGCCTGGAATTCTCAGGGAGGCACCTGATCAGGACGCACTGACCTTCCGCTTCCCGGGATTCTGTCAGGAAGCTCCCTGGCTTTATCAGCCTGAATGCCCACAGGATGGTGGGTCCCCCTCGCCACCTTTCCCCTGGAGGGCGGGCTCTGTTTTCCCTCCTGATGACACAGGTTCACCTTGGGCACACAGGCCAGGCATCTAGGCCCACGCTCTGCCCACCACAGGGCCCTTCCCTGGGTCACCATCCCTAGGCCCCTGAAGGACCTGCCCCAACATATGCATCTGTGGTTCACAGGAGCATCTCTGCCCGAACCTCAGCCTGACAGCCTTCAGCCTCCCTGGGAAAGGCACAGCCACTGTCCTTTCTGAGCAGGTGCCTCCCCAGCCAGGGGCAGGGCCTGGCCACCAGGCCACCCTCCACGGCCTACCACAGTGTCTGCAGGCTGCAGGAGGGCTGTCGCAGGGCCTCACACAGCTGTGCCACTCCCTCGTCCATCAGGGGGTTTCTGCTGAGGTCCAGATGGCTCAGGTTTGCGTTTCTCAGGAGAACCTCAGAGAGGTGTGGGCAGAAGTGCTCACAGATCTGGCAGCCGGCCATCCTGGAGGGGAAGCAGGGGACAGCAGGTCACGTGAGGGCCGAGGTCCCAAGGACGGCTCAACTACACGCTCAAGGTGGTCTTTCTGTGGTCCTGTGTACGAACTCATGGGACCCAATCTCCCCTTTGACTGCTCCCTACCCACATGAGACAGGCAGGAGGAACCGAACCGACACAGAGCCTCATGAGAAAACCAGGGGTGAGAGGCACAGCTCAGATGCCAGAATCTGTCAGTTCTGGTTCTGACTCTGCATCTCACCCCGTCCTGGGACAAGCCTTCTGCCCCCTGAGGCTGTTGCCCAGAGCACGGGTGACGAGCAGGGTGACGTGCATGGGTCATCTCAGGTACCAGGTCCTCAGCTTGTCGGGTTCTGGAGAATCCTAACAGGTTCTAATGGCTTCTTACAAGGAACGCTCTGCCACGTTGGGAGAGCCACGGGGTACAGGAAAGAACAGAGCAGAGGTGCAGCGGGGTCCCCACAGGGGCTGCTTCTGCTCCCGTTCACAGAGGGGCAGCCCGCAGCTGGGAGGCCCAGTGACTGCAGGAGAGCAGCAGACCCGGGGCTGGACCTCGAGCCGTGGATCCTCAGCTGGTGCCCTGAAGCCCTGCTGCGGTCTCAGCTGGTGGACACAGTGCAGTGACCCGGGATGCTGCGTGCCCCTTGCCCACCCCAGTCCACTTACACCAGCGTCTGCAGGGTGCAGTCTGGGTGGCGCAAGGCTGCGCACAGTGTGGGCACACCATCAGCCAGTGCATTATTGCTCAGGTCCAGGAGCTTCAGCTTCCTGTTTGTCACCAGCATCGAGGCTAAGGCCTCACAATCCTTAGCGGAGATGCCCGAGTCCTTCAGCCTGCAGGGAGGGGGACATTACGTACTCTGGGCTTCCCTGCCTGGACTGGCCCCTGGTGCTAGTCCTGTGAGGGCCTGTCCTGCACGGAGCCTCCTGGGGAATCCTGTCATCACCCCCAGGCCCCGTCTGCACAGCTCGGCCCAGACCCAGTCACTCTGTGCTTACCCACCCCAAGTCACTTCCCCGACCCCAGGGCAGCCCCACACATGATCCGTGTCCTGCGAGGCCCTTCCTGCTCCCCAGCCTGTGCCTCCCACCACACCAGGCAGTCTTCCTAGAGGACTCAGGATGCTGTCCCCAGCACGTCCCCTTTCCAACTACTGCCCCACCAGGGTGGGGATGGCGTTGCTCAGGGAGAGTGCGACCCTCCTCCCCGGCATGGCATGCGTGAGGCCTCCTCAGACAGCATTCCCACGGAAGAGTTGAGCCTGAGGTGGGGTCTCTGCCTGTATTTGTGACTCCCATCTCAGTGGCTGTACCAGCGTGTGGGCACACACGTGTGCTAAGCCCCTGGATGACAGAATGGACACATTCACAGCCTACACAGGTGCACGTCAATGCAGGTATGACTGCCAAGCCTCCCGACCACAGCCCTGACATTTCTCCAGGGTGATTCTGCAGCAGCTCCTGGGTCTAAAGATGCCTGTGGCTTGAAGATATTTTCAAGAAGTGAAAACAATAGGATTTGGCCCACGTCATACCCTACCTCCAAATTAATTCAAAATGGATCACAGATTGAAACCTCAGAGTCTAAATCATAGGGCTGGGGTTGCAGCTCAGGGGTAGAGCCTTTGCCTATCATGTGTGGGGTTCTGGGTTTGAATCTCCGCGCCACCTAAAAGTAAAAGCCCTTCAACAACGAGAACATATTAGACCAAACTTCCTGACAATGAAAAAGTTCAGAAAATGATCTTAGACCTTGGCTTAGGCGATGGTCTCTCGCAGGCTACACAAAACACACAGGAGAGCACAGAAACAAGAGATGGTCCCCGAGACCGTACAGAGCGGGGCTGTGTGCCAACCAGACGACTCGCACATCGCGAAGCCTGCACCCACAACGCAGAGGAACCCTCTGGACTGCGCAACAGAGACCACTCGCTCCAAAAGCATAAGCTCAGGTGAGGGTGGACGTCTCTCCAAGGAGACACACAGATGGCCAGGACAAAGCAGGACAGCAAGGGAGGTCTTCACGCCCCCAGGGCAGGCCATGGCAACAGCAGGACAGCCAAAGACGAGAGCAACCTCGCCACTGGCCAAGGGAGACCAGAAACTAGGCAGCAGGTCCCGGCAGGGGACTCGAACTCAGCCAGGAAAGGACTAAGGCACTGACGGGGCAACACTGGAGGGCAGCGTGGCAACCTTGCGCTCAGGGACTCAAGCTGTTCCTGAAGGATCCCAGGCCGTGAGTCGACGGAAACAAGACGTGCAGAACATGAAGATCCATCAACCCTGAAGCACGTCAGTGGGTCCCGGGGCATGGACTCGTGGGTAGGGTCTCCTCCTAGGTACCGCAAACCTTCCAGAATCAGAAGGTTGTCACGGCTGCCCACCCCTGAGCCTCTGCTAAGACCACTAGATTCACTCTTCAAAGCATGGGGTTTGGGGGTACATATTATACTTTGACCAAGCTGTTATCTGGTAACAGATCTGGGTCTTCATGCTCAAAAGAGGAGTGCCCAGGGAAACAGCAGAGAAAGAGCTGTCAGAAGTATGTGAACATCACTGGGCACGGTGATGCCCACTCCCCCGCCCCAGAATCCCAGCGACTAGGGAGGCTGAGGCAGGAGGACCTCGAATTCAAAGCCAGCCTCAGCAGCTTCTTGAGACCCTAACATCTGGGGGCATGGCTCTTGAGGTTAAGTGCCCCTGGGCTCATTCCCCACACCAAAAAAAAAAAAAAAAGGATCTGAAGTTGTGGGCACCAGAGAGCAAAGAACATGAGTCCTTATTTGATTAACAAGGCTTGAAGCAGAACAGAGAGCACACAGTTTCCAGGAGAGAGGCCAGGTGCTGGCCAAGAAACCCTCCCCGGGAAGTCCAGGTGACATGACCGGCCTCCAGGCCCGCCTGGTCACTATCCAGCTCCTCCTGCCTCCGCCCATCACCAGAGGTGAGCACTACCAGGCCTCTAACACCACAGTCTTCCCATCTTTAACCTCAGAATGAAATCATGTGGTCCACTCCTGGTTAGACTCTTTCCACCAATAATATTGGAGATTAGTCCAAAATGTTACCTGGGGTTGTAGACCAATCGCATGGGATAGGAGAATGCAACCAAAGGTTTCTTGTCCATTGAGGGAAATTTCCACTTTTCAGGCCTTAGGGGGTCCTGCCCTAAATGTTCCAGTGTCCCTCTCTCCCCAAACTGAGCCACCAACACCGGAAGCATTTCTCCTGGGTTACATTGTGCACCAGACTCTGCCAAAGCTGAACCGAGGTTTTGCAAAGTGCCTGTATATATTTAGAAACTTCCCTATCCTGGTCTCGATTTCTGGAGACCAGACCTTTGTACCCGAGGGACAGGAAAGGACAGAGATGCCCATGTTAAAGCAGCCCAGTCCTCTCTGGAATCCACCCCTGAGGCTAGCGGGCAGCACTCACAGCAGCTCCTGAAGGTTGCACAGCGGGTTGCTCAAGGCACTGCAGAGGAGCGAGACGTCATCTTGGGAGAGCTGGATGCAGGTCATGCTCAGGTGTTGCAGGTTTGGGTTACTGGTGAACACCTCAAAGAAAATCCCAGTCTCACAGCAAAGGGAAAAGTTACTTGTCCTGCAAAAGCAAAGGTGACTCTGGACGATTCTGATCCACCCATCTCGGGCAGCACAGCGTGAACGCCTGCCTGTGGTCACTCCTGCGCCATAAATGACCCACTGGCCACTTCCACGACCCAATGGCCTGGGTGGGTTTACCCCCAAAGGCCACGTTTGGAGATGGTGTGGTTGGCAGAACTAGAGGAAGCCATGGGGTCTTCGTTTCTTCTAGAGGAAGCAGAGCCCAGGGGGCCTCTGGGACCCACAATGCACGCACAGGCCGACCACCAAGGGAGAGCTTCCCGGGCAGCAGGGCGCTGGGCTGAGACACCTCCCTGGGGTCCAGCCTCTACCTCAGGCTGGCAGGGAGGTCAGCAGTCTCCATGCCCCAGGCCCATCTTCAACTCACTCGAGGCTCTGCACGCGGCATGTGGGCTGGCTCAGCTGACAACACAGGGATACCAGCGCCCACTTGCCGAGGATGCTGTCTTCCACCCGGAGTTTCTGGAGGTGCACATTGGCAGTGAGCACACAGCAGAACTGCTGCCACCGGAGGAGAGTACGACTCGACCTGCAACAGGAGAGACGAAAGGTTCTCCAAAGAGGTCACCTCAAGGCAGTCACAGCCTCTGAGCACAGTGTCACCTGCTTGGACTCCCAAGAAGAGGAGAGCTGACCTCGTTCTCCCCCTGTGGTCACTTCTCGGCCAGGACCCTTGGCCACGCTGCAGCCTTTCGGGCCTGTACTGCCCAAGGGACGTGCTTCTGACACCAGTGGGCAGGGCCAGGGATGCCTCTGAGCATCCTCCAGCTCAGGACAGCCCCACAGCAAGGCCATAGCCCACCCAGGCCACCTAGGTCCTGGGGTTGGAGACCCTCCCTTGTTACCAGTGGAGGCTGTCTAGAGGAAAGATGAGGCAGGAGGCCAGAGCCAGCCTCCAGCCAGATCTCCTGGCCTCCAACTTGGCCCTTGCCCCATCCTGACCACACCAGCTTGGTGGGCTGACTTGACCTGTCTGTCCCGTCTCCTCCCTGCAGCACCACAGTAGGAGGATCCACCTGGTGGGCTGTCCGAGTCAACCAAGAGTTTCAGAATACAACAGCACTAGCCTGCAGCTGGGAGGAAATGGATCTGGAGCATTGTCCCAGGGGAGTGACCCAAGGGTGAACCCCGCCGAGGGCCTGGAAGGGAAGGGAAGGGAACGCGTCCCAGGGACCGTCACCTTCCTCCCTCAGTACAGTCATTATCGCTGCTTTGGTGAGGAGATCCATGCAGCTAGGAAAGGCCAGGCTCAGGGACGAGGCCACGGGCTCCCTACGAGAGCTGCACTGCACTGAATGAGCACACGCACCTCACCCATGAGCACCATGGAAGACTAGGGAGAAGGGACCCAGGGGCTGGGGCTCAGCAGTGGAGCACTGCCCTGCACCTGGGAGGCTCAGGGCTCGATGCTCAGCACCAAGTCAAAATGAGATTAGGAAAGCTACTGTGAACATCTACAAGTAAAAACATTTTCTAAATATTTTCAATTGTACTTGGACACAAAAATAAATCTTTTAATTTATGTATCTATGAGGTGCTAGGTGAGCACTCTACCGCTGAACCACAACGCCAGCCCCAAGTAAAAATGTTTTTAATTAAAAACAAACAGTAAAATATAAGACGAGTCAAGACTACTGGACAGGAAAGGCAGGCAGTGAACCCAATCCACGTGAAATGCCCCGTCACCAACACCCTGTGTGCACACGGACAGATTCTGAAAAAGGATGGAAAGAAAGTGTCTGCAGGGACTCACATGGGGTCTGGTCCCCTCTCTTCCAGAAAGGTATCTGGGACTGACAGAGTCACCTCTCTCAACCAGGAGCCGTATTTTAGGCAGTAGGCAGCAACCGCCAAGTCTGGCCCCTCCCGAAGGGGGAAGTGGGCCTCGCGGAGGCTGTCCATCACGTGGCTGGCAAAGAGGTCACTCTGCATCTCGAACAGGGCATAGAAGAGCAGCAGGAACTCCACCTTGTTCTTAGGATCTTTGCACTCCACCAAGTTCTTCAGACATCCCAGGAGCTGGGGCGCCAACTCCCGCGACCTCTGCATCCCAAGAAGGGCGTCCAGCCTCTGCTGCTCACTTTCATGTACGAGGCCAAACAGGAAGCAGCCCACGAACACCCGGCTGGCTCCGTCTTTCCTGAAGTACGTGAGCAGCAGTGCCTCTATGGGCCTCACGGCCCGGCTGGGGTGGTCGCGGGGGCTGTCCAGCAGGTAGAACATGGCCGCACAGAACTCCTGCATGCACGCGTGGATGAAGGAGTAGGAGCTCCCCGACTCACTGTACTTCCGGAAGAGCCCGAGTTCCAGCAAGGTGGGGGTGTCAGTGTCCGCTATCCCGTTCCTCCTGAGGTCCTCTTCGCCAAACACCCATGTGTCGGTCCACATGCCCTCCGCGGCCAGGGAACACAGCGCCTTCAGCAGGCCTTGGCCCTGCTGGCTGGGACGAGTAGCGCCCCTGGGTGTGAACGCTTGAAACATGAAAGAGAGGAACACAGAGGTGGACCTGCAGCAGGTGGCTGCCAGGTCCCTCCGGCACTGCATCTCCTGCTTCATAGATGTGCACACCATCCAGCAGAGGAGGGGGACGTGGCACATGGTGAAGAGATGCTCATTGTTTTGCACCAAGCTCAAGGCTGCCATGGCTCGGCCCCCGTCTCCAAAGGAGCAGCAGAAAAACTGCTTCACATGGCTGTCCTGGAAGCATTTGAGCTCTTGCATGTTTGGGTGGTCCAGTTTGTTCTCCAGACCTTCTGGGCGCCCGGGTATGGCAGCCAGGAGCAGGGCCGACTCTGGGAGAATCTTCCTCCTCCGCAGGCTGCTCAGCACCGTCTTCACTGAACGCTCCTCCCTCCAGTCACGGCACAGCTCCGACTCGGGCTCTGTCAGGGTGCACTGCAGCTCCTCTAAGCTGTCGATGATGAACAGGATCCTCTCCGGTTGGGCCATGATGTCCGCCAAGGGGACAGAGTCATCGGGCCTTTCTCTGGAGATGAGCCCAGCCAGGCTGGTCGCCGTCAGCTGCTTCAGTTCTCGGCAGCATAAGTAGAAAATGAAAGAGAATTTGTCCCGATAGAGGGTACCATCTGACCAGGCCAGCATCAGCTTCATCAGGAACCTCGTTTTCCCTATTCTTGGTATTCCAAGGAGGACGACCGTGTGACGCCTCCTGGATACCCTTGGAGTGAAATACTCTTCCAGACTTTCATGGTCTTCACGGGTCAATGTCTGGTCAAAGCAGCCAGGGATCTCAGAGAAGGAGCCCCTGGACCACATGCTGACGAACTTCTTCTGTATGTGAGCTCGATAGCCACTTTCTGGTCAGAGAGGGCAAGAGAAAAAACACAGCACATCAGAGTTTAACCCGCACACAACCTGAAGGCTTGAACCCGAATCTCCCATATGGGAAGCAATGGCCTCAGGGCCTGCAGGCTGTGGCCACAGCCTAAACCACCAACCAGACAGCCCCCTGGGTCAAAGGCCTGCCAGGCCAGCTACACACACACACACACACACACACACACACACACACACACCCCTGTTCATCTCTGCCAGGAGAGCAAGGAACTGCAAAGCCCTGCTGGCTTCCAAGTGAAGAGAGTGGCATGCACGTCAAACCAGGGAGGGGCCTCCCCATGCGGAAGCAGGAGCTCTGTGTGGGGACAGGACCCTGCCTGTGGGCTGTGGTGCTGCCCAACAAGGGTTAGCACGGGAGGAAGGCTTGGCCTGCCCGCTGTGTCTAAGAGACTGGCACAGCCTTCGTCTTCCTGGAGGGAGCCCGGTGCACTAGATGTGACAAGGCCCCTAGGATTCACCCCAACTCCATCCTGGTGAGCCTTCTTGTCCTTTGGAGGGCAGAAGACTAGAAGTATCCAATCAAAAGCCAAACAACAAAAGGGCTCAGCCTTCTAGAATCCCTTCAGGCTGAGCTGAGGCTGGGTCCTGCTCTGCAGTTGCCACAGGCTCTGGTGACATGGGAAGGTCGGGGTGCTGAGTGACATCAGAGGGGACCCTGTCACTCAGGTGGTAGACAGGTGAGGTTGAAAGGGCACAGAGGGCCCTCAGGAATGCGGGAAGTGCACGAATGAATGCCAAGGAATTTAGCAGGGATGGCTGGGCCAGCTCTCAGGTTAGGAAGTGGGAAATCCAAACAACTCCGCAGAGGAAAGCAGCCAAGGCCCAAGGGCGCAGAGGGACCAAGGCCTGGGAAGGAGCAAGGCTGCTCCCTGAAGGACCAAGGTCGGGGAAGGACCAAATTCTGGGAAGGACCAAGGTCACTTGTGGAAGGACCAAGGTCCTCGCTGAAGGACCAAGGTCACAGAAGGAGAGAGCCCTATCCTGAGGGCACAGTGGGGGTCCTGGGGGAGGCGGGGAGACCACCCGGGGCGGAAACCACTATTAAACAGGCAGAGCCGGAAAGCTGGAGCTGAGGAAGGCGGCTGGCCAGAGAGGCCAGGACCGCGGGGACGCCCACGCAGGACCAGCGTGAAGAGCACCATTGGGCACCTCGCAGCAACTCTAGAAAGACCCCACCCGCCCTAGCAGCACCTCCTGCCTGGGACACCGGGCAGCGCAAACAGGCAGAGACTCCAGACCGACCAGGCGCAGGACCAGGCGCAGCACCACCGTGAGTCTCCGGGGCCGCGCAGCCCAGAGGTCACAGCTGCCCTGCCTGCTGAAATGATGCACCCCCAGGGCATCCACTGAAGTCCGCTGGGCACCCGCATATCAGGGCCCTTCCAAAGCGCCCTGAGGGTACCATCTGACCAGGCCAGCGTCCACTTCATCAGGAGCCTCGTTTTCCCCATTCTTGGTATTCCAAGGAGGACGATGGAGGTAACCTCGGCTCCAGGTGCCAGAGGCAGCGGCTGTCAACTGCTACAGTCTGCGCCCAGTCACAGCCCTCTCCATGGGCCCCGGGGAGCTCGGGCCCTTGGTCCTTCAGCCGTGGGTGGGGTTCTGGTGACAGTGCCCACCTGCCCTCACTGCCCGTGAGGGCCAAGCTGGGGATGAGGTCACTCCCCCAGCCTGGGCAGCTCTCCCCACGGCGACTCCCCCTGGAGCCCCTGTGCCCCAGCCCCCTGCTCTCTCCCAAGGAGCCCACCACTCACCTGCGCTCTCTCTCGTGGCCTTATCATAGAGGTCCTTCCTGTGGATCTTGGGGAAGATACAGAGGGCCAAGTCCCACGCTAGCACTTCCCCATAGTGCTTGGTCATCAAGCTCGCCAGTTCATGGGGAATGGCCTTCCACACCTGCACCCAGGGAGTGGGCTGGAGGCCGCGTTGCACAGTCTCCTGCTGGAGCAGATCCTTAAACTTCATGAACTCCTTCTTCTCGAGTTCATCCAAGTACCACATGAGGCGGAAGTCAGAAAAGAAGGACGCTGCCATCTCGTCCAGGCCGGAGAGGAAGATGCTCAGAGACAGGGACCAGGAAGGACAATCAGACAACCTGAGGGAAATGTCAGGGTGGCCCCGAGTTACTCACAAGGAAAGGGCCTTGCACAGCTCGTGCTGGTCCTGGGTGAGGGCTGGGGATTCCTCCAACCGGCATCCTGTCCTCTCCTCACTGATGTGGGCCTGAAAGCAGTGGTGACCCGGACACCAACCTGCACTGGCCTCCGTGTCCACATGCATTGCCTGCAACCCAGCTCCGGCGGTGCCCGGAGGGAGCCCTACAGAGCCCCCAGGGTTAGCATTAGGGAAGCTTCCCCGGGGCCGACAGACAGCCTTCTGGCACAACCAGCTGCCACAAAGACAGTAGCGGTCACAGAAGGCATGGGCCTGCCCTTCCAGGCTGTGGGGGATGACCGGAGGATCTCCGTGGGGGAGGATGCATGGAATAGTCCAGGAGACGCAAGCGCAGCAACCCCCTTCACCTGCACCTTCAACACAGACGCCCACAGAGGACGGTAATGGTCTCCTCAGTGACAAATGGAGGAGCCCTGCCCTCAAACACCCACCGCTGGCTTTTGTCAAGAGCTCCATGGAGAAGAGCAGTGCTCCGCAGAGGATGCTGTACAGCTGGAGGCCCCGGGTCAGAGATAAGCCTGGAGGGACCCCGGACCTCACCCAGAAACCAGCAAGTCTGTGAGAAGGGGCACGAGACCAGAACAGACGCTGGGGAGAAGCTAGGCGGTGGCATGTTACACAGACACATACAGGCTTCTAGCCCCCCCCCCAAGTCTCCAGAGTCTTCCCCTGATCCCATGCAATAGCATAGACTACAGCAGGTGTGTCCTCAGGCCTGGCTGTGACCCCCTGCAGAAGTCAGAGGTGGGCTTGTCACCCTCAGAACCACAGAGGGTGAACTGGTTTGGAAACAGGGCCATGGTAGATGTACCAACTTAAGGTGAGGTCATTCTGCAGTGTGGTGGGCCCCTAAGCCACACAGGTTGGCGTCTTTACTACAAGGTGCACATTCAGACACAGAAGGTGATCCAAAGACACAGCGAGGATGCCATTAGAAGCCCAAGAAGGTGAAGGTGTCAGTGGAGACAAGTGTGAGGATGACAATCAGAAACCTGCACATACATGAGGATCTTTTCAACAGCAGATTCACACCCTCATGAATTCTAGACGCTGTCAGAGAGAGAGAAGATGGCCCTTTAGGAAAACCCAGAGGCCTGAGGGAATGAGCAAAATTCCTTTTGGAGTGTGGTGAGGTATGGAACGGAATTGAAATTCATCACCGTGCCAGTGTGAAAACCTGAAGAGGAGAAATGAAATCAAAATCCATCAATGGGGTGGATTTAAACTATAAAGCTTCTTCTCAGTGAAAGAATGAGGTGAGAGAAAGCCTACATTTGGGAGCAAATTTTTGCCACATGCACAACAGATAGAGCACTAATCTCCAGGATACATAAAGAACTCAGAAATCTCAATACCCCAAACCCAATCAATGAATGGGCTAAGGAGCTGAACAGATGCTCCTGAGAAGAAGTATACATTTGATCAACAAATACATGAAAAAATATTCATCTCTAGTAATTAGAGAAATGCAGATCAAAACTACTCTAAGATTTCATCTCACTCCAGTCAGAATGGCAGCTATCAAGAATACAAACAACAATAAATCAATAAGTGTTGGTGGTGATGTGGGGGAAGAGGTACACTCATACATTGCTGATGAGACTGCAAATTGGTGCAGCCAATCTGGAAAGCGGTATGGAGACTCCTTAGAAAACTTGGAATGGAACCATCATTTGACCCAGCTATCCCACTCCTCTGTCTATACCCCCCCCAAAGGACTTAAAATCAGCATAGAATAGTAACACACCCACAATGCTCATAGTACTACAGTTCACAATAGCTAAACTATGGAACCCACCTAGATGCCCTTCAGTAGATGAATGAATAAAGAAACTGTGGTATATATACACAGTGGAATATTACTCAGCATTAAAAAGAATAACACGATGACATTTGCAGTTAAGTGGATGGAGTTGGAGAGTATATGCTAAGCTTAGTAAGTCAATCCCCAAAAAATGAAAGCCAAATGTTTTCTCTGATAAGTGGATGCTGATCATTGATGGGGGTGGGACACGGGGAGAACGGAGGAACTGTGATTGGGAAAAGGGGAGGGAAGGGAGGGGACATGGGGCAGGAAAGGTGGTGGAATGAGATGGACATCATCACTCAGGTACATGTAGGACTGCACATGTGGTGGGACGCTACGTTGTGTACAACCAGAGAAATGAAAAGTCCTGCTGCAGTTGTGTACAATGAATTAAAATGCATTCTGCTGTGATATATGCCTAATTAGAAGGAAGGAAGGAAGGAAGGAAGGAAGGAAGGAAGGAAGGAAGGAAGGAAGAGAAAGAAGACAGAAAAACCTGAAGAGGAATACCAGAATATCAAGGGCCCAGCATTCCTGTCTGGGAAGATGATCAAAGTAAACATCTGACAGGAATTTCCAGTAAACCCAAAACAGATGCTAGAATTCAGATATAACCAGAGAGGGCTTATCTGCCAAAGCAAATAGAAGGAAAAACTAAAATCCAGAAAACAGCCATCGAGGATGGAAACAGGGACATGGAACAGATGGAATAAATAGGAAACCAAAAAATGGCAGGTGGAATCTCTTAGTGCTCAATGCACAAAACAATGGTCTCCTTGGTCCAGGGAGACCGAGCTCTGAGCAGACAGAAACACACTTGCTTCAGGAGGCATCAGACAGCGACACCCCAGAGATGAAGAGGAAGCATGGAGATTCTGCCCCGAGCCACCCCTCACCCTCCAAGCTCCAGACCAGGAGCCCCCCATGAACACCAGCATGGATGCAGAGGCCAGGAGACCCCCGGGGCACAGGAGGGAAACCGTGCCTTTCCTGAGGACAGTCACGTGGCCCAGGCACGCCTGCTCTCAGGGCTGGCGGGAGGCCTAGGAGGTGCACAGGTATCCCAGGTCACTTCATGGACTGCACCAGGAACCAGCCTCACAAAGGAAACGGGGAGCCTGCAGACACGGCAGACCTTCCTCTGGGCACCGCTGCTTGAGCAGCTGCAGAACACATCAAGACAGAGGGCTCGTCCATCCGCCCTGAACTGACCCCAGGAGCAGGTTTCAACACCTGGCCACAAGGATGCTGTGGCTAATTCACGTCTGGAGTCAACTGTGGAATGAGGAGAAGGTGCTGTAAAGGTAAAATTTCCAAGCTGATTCTAGGCCGCAGAGCCTGAGTTAAAGTGTAAAGGACCAGGCTTGTAAACCTGCTTCTAAAACTGCAAAGCATGGGTTAAATTCCTGAGGCAGTTAGGACAAGGCCCCACTGGCCATTTAGTGATTTATGGACTGGGGTCCTGTGCAACTCCTCACGTAAGCATTCAAGACCCTGTGCAGTTTGTCACGTAGATATTCAGGGTCCAAACCAATCAGTTTGAATGTGTACCCCACCTAGGAGCACCAATCACTCCTGCCCTGATTGTTCCCGCCAATGTATGTACTAATCCTGACTCAGGGTTGTTGTTCAATTTTCCCGCGCCTCATGATGATTTGTTCTGATGTATGCAAAGCCCCCCCCCCCTCTCCGAAATGTGTACTTAAGCTCCGCTTGAACTCTGCTCTGGGCTCTGGGCTGCTCTCCCTTCTTGAGTGAGCACGGAGCCCCAGCGCGCTGGAATGGATCCCCAATAAATATCCCCTTTTGCCAATTGCGTGGAGTCAGTCTCTTGGGTGGTCTCCCTCTCCGACGTATCGCCAGAACTTTACAGTGCCAGAGGCAAGGACTATGCTCTAAGGGTGTGGCCAAAGAAAATGGGGTACACAGTCCTGAACTGAAGTGACCTTTACTCTCATGCATCCACGGAACAGCCTGAGCCAGGTCAGGAAGCCACAGCGGCCTGCGGCAGGAGCTTGAAGTTCCAGGAGCAGATCATAGAACAAAGAACAAAGGAACATCAGGACAGAGGGCTCCCCAGTGACATTAAAAATGAGCTGGGCACGGTGGCCACGCCTGTTGTCCCTATGACCTGGGGGCTCAGGCAGCACGATTTCAAGTTGGAGGCCAGCCTCAGCCACATGGCAAGACATGGTCTCAAAATTTAAATAATACTAAAAAAACGGACTGGGACGTGGCTTAGTGAGCAAGTGCCCCTACACCCAACCCCCAGTCTTCAGAAACAAAGATACAAGACGCGAAGTCGGTCAACTCCATGAAGACAAAAAGGTGAGAAGCCCTAAGAGGTGGGATGAGAAAAAAGGCAGGTGCAACCCCCCAGGAAAGAAAGTGATCACCACACACCTGGACGGGCGTCACAGCAGATGGCGGCCACCTCAGTCCAGCTGACGACTGTCAATGAATTCATAGAAATAACAAACTTCATCTTCTGTATCTGTGTGTCATGTTTTGAAAGCTATTTGTTTTAACATGTAAAAGAAATTCTACCTTCCAACAAGACTCTGGCTCAAACACCTTCCAGTCCACAGTTAAAGTCCCTTTATTTTTCCAGAAACACACATGCTCTCTCCGCCCTTTTAAACACACGCACACAGCACTCCCTTCAACTGAGGTGGAATACTGAAAACTAAAAAGTGCACTTGAGAATTCAATCAAGTGTTAATTCTCTTGTGAAAACAATTTTTTTTTTTAATTTAGTCAACCTAAGCATAAACTGTCTATGTAGGTGGGAGTGTATGAGTGAATTTCCCGACGTTGCTAGGCTGAGGTGATGGGTTGAACACTGATGACCAGTCCATGGCACTGAAGCCAGATTTAAAATTAGGTCGTCAGTGTAGTTAGGTAAATCGGGTCTGATATCGAGTGAAATCTAAAATGGAGGCCATGCTGACAATGATTCCAGGAACCGCAGGACCACTCATGGAATGTTAATGAAGTCCCAGAAAGGCCCTAGGCCAAAGTCCACCCCCAAAGAAATGTTAATGGATCCCAG